TTTCTACAATTACGTGGGGGACTTTTATTTTGAAGTTTTCCGAAATTCCGTGACCCGGAAGTACACACAGCACATATAAGCCTGGGATATCAACCATTCAAAGTTGGCCTTAGTGGGAATGACCATAGAATTCTATAGGAGTGACCTTACTGAGTAAAGTGTTTGTCATGGTCACCACTTAACACAGTCAAAAAGTCATAATTATGGCTAAATCCTGCCCATTTCCACAATTTATCTTCATAAAATTTGATTTTAAACCTAACCCTAACTAATGATGGCCTAATTTGATGCGTTGGTCCACCAGACCTTCCGCACATTTGGGCGGAAGTGTCTGGAAACGAGATTAGGTGTAATGTGACTAACATGACATCACTTTAGAGCGTCACCCTTTATAAAGCACATGTTTATATCATATTCGACCACAGGCGGTTGGTGGCACCTTAATTGGGGAGAACGGGCTCGTGGTAATGGCTGGAGCGGAATCAGTGGAATGGCATAAAATACATCAAACACATGGTTTCCATGTGTTTGATGCCATTCCATTTACTCCATTCCAGACATTATTATGAGCCGTCCTCCCCTCAGCAGCCTCCACTGTTTCGACACAGTGGGTTACGTCACCTTTGAAATTGGTGATTATGTCACACAGTTATGCCACATTTATGAACCCTTAATAAAGCATGACATATGGTTATAGAAGCTTTGTAACACATGTATGTAGTGCTTATAAAGGCATTGTGAAGGCTTTATGAAGCCTTTATAAGTTGAACATAATTTAAAGCGGGACCGAAAGGGCAGTGTCGATGGAAGTTTACCTTCTTCCTTCTCAGAACCCAAGATTTGTTTACACACACGCAGTGTTCAGCTATATTGTGGGCTAGACATTAGACAATGTAGTATGTGGCCAAGAAAATTACACAGAAACATTGCAAAGGCCTGTTGGTCAACATGTGAACTTACAAGTTATCCACAGAAAATTTACTTTTAAGAAGTTTACAACAACCAGCGGGAAGCTATTATATATTAGCCTATATCATAGGCCTATATAAATAGTTTTTAAAAAATGGGATGTTATAGTTCTGCCCACCAGTGGGTTAAAGCATGGCTACTTTGACTTGAGCAGAGCTCCCGCTTTATTCAGATAGGCAAATCTGTAAATTACATCAACACTGAAAATAAATGAAATGGCATCTCCATTTTACCATTTTGACGCCACTTCTCTCTGGTGTGCGAGGCGTTCAATCTTTCATCTTGCTCACGATGCTCACACAGGCTTTGCATCACATGGAGCGAACGCGTGCACAGTTGATAAACAGAGCCAGTATCACTGCTAACTGCCACAGGGTCTCTAGAGAGTAGAGACCCCCCATCAATCAATTACATGTATTTATAAAGCCCTTTTTACATCAGCAGATGTCACAAAGTGCTTATACAGAAACCCAGCCTAAAACCCCAAAGAGCAAGCATTGCAGATGTAGAATGGTGGCTAGGAAAAACTTCCTAGAAAGGCAGGAACCTAGGAAGAAACCTAGAAGAACCAGGCTCTGAGGGGTGGCCAGTCCTCTTCTGGCTGTGCCAGTGGAGATTATAGGAGTACATGGCCATTTAGGCCAGATTGTTCTTCAAGACGTCCAGCAGGGTCAAATAATAATCACAGAAGGTGCAACAGGTCAGCACATCAGGAGTAAATGTTAGTTGCCTTTTCATAGCCAAGCATTCAGAGGTTGAGACAGCAAGTGCGGTAGAGAGAGAGGCATTATTTATGCCTAAAATAATGGCTTACTGTCTCATACTCACATTCTATATAGGTCTACTATACTTTTTTTTCACCGACCATTTGGATTTGGCTACTCTACTCTTCATCTAGGTAGCCCATATGGAAAAACAATATATTTACATATATATTTTAACATGTATTTAAGCCTTATATATACATATATTTAAATAGGCTATATGTACAAAAATATATGTACGTATTACAAAATTGGCCGTTTTCATATAAAGTTCAGCACTGAATCACAATAGCATGCTGTGGTACACTTTGAAAAGTTTGAATGAATGACTCATGACTGTTAGAAATTGCGTAATTCAAATCTGGTATTGGAATAAGAGAAAACATAATCAAGATATTCAATCCAAGCTAAATTTATTATATGCAAAATGTATGTATGATAAGTATGATGGTTCGTATACGGGCTCACTGAAATACTACACAGGGCAGACAGAGAACTGATCCATTGTTACAGGTTCTTCTTCAAATACTCTGACAGATAGTTCCCGTTCTCTGCTGGGCCTATCAGGGTAGAGACTGAGCGTGGTTTAGACTTACTCAGCCAATCGTTGGCGCACAGGCTGGTCCCAGCCCCTTGGCGCTCCACTGTTGCCAGTTGTCTAGTTGTTTTGCAACTTATCCAGAAAGTCAGCACTTTTGCAGTACACGTCCTTGAGTATGATGGTTTAACAAAGAGGCAGTGTGTATGTGTCTGTGAGAAATACAAGTTCTTATCTCATCCTACCTGTCACACTCTGGCTCCGGGACTTTTTATGTTGAGTCAGGGTGTGTAGATTTCCGTGTGTTTTGTACTGTGTTTAGTGTCTAGGTGTTCTAGTTCTATGTTTGGTCAAGTGACTCCCAATCGGAGGTAACGAGTGTCAGCTGTCGGCTCGTTATCTCTGATTGGGAGCCATATTTAAACTGTCTGTGTTCACCTTGTGGTTGTGGGTTTTTGTTCCATGTTCCGTATTGGTTATTGTTACTAAGGACGTCACGAGTCGTGTTTTGTATTTTCGTTTATTCACCATTAAAGTATTATGTTCGCTACTAACGCTGCGCTTTGGTCCACTCCTTATCATGACGATCGTGACAGAAAAACCCACCTTAACCAGACCAAGCAGCGTGTTCAGGAGCCGGAGCCGCCTCCGAGGAGCAACACCCACCCAGCCCTCCCCTATTTGGGGTGTAGGCGCGGTCGGAGTCCGCGCCTTTAGGGGGGGGTACTGTCACACTCTGGCTCCGGGACTTTTTATGTTGAGTCAGGGTGTGTAGATTTCCGTGTGTTTTGTACTGTGTTTAGTGTCTAGGTGTTCTAGTTCTATGTTTGGTCAAGTGACTCCCAATCGGAGGTAACGAGTGTCAGCTGTCGGCTCGTTATCTCTGATTGGGAGCCATATTTAAACTGTCTGTGTTCACCTTGTGGTTGTGGGTTTTTGTTCCATGTTCCGTATTGGTTATTGTTACTAAGGACGTCACGAGTCGTGTTTTGTATTTTCGTTTATTCACCATTAAAGTATTATGTTCGCTACTAACGCTGCGCTTTGGTCCACTCCTTATCATGACGATCGTGACACTACCCCGTAACGTTCCTCACATGAATCACAGCTTGTTATGTGAAACAATTTATATCAGTACAGTACAAACCTTTTATGTTTAATCATTAATGCATTCTTTCTAAGCTAGTCATCACATGTAGTTACAAGAAAATGGATCCCCACATGACTGACAACTAAGAGTGTTTTCAATTATCTTTATTTTTTTCTCAAATAACTTGCTCCATTGTTGAATTGTGGCATGGGAGTCACTGGAAGGTCACATCTGAAACACAAAATATAATGTACAAATTACATCTGTGACCTTAACATCTGTATTTGAAAAATATGTCTTTGAACATCAAATGTATCCTTACAATGCAGATTCCTTCACCTCCAGTGTCCATATTCAGACTCACAAGTTGACAGTTACCCTGTGGATAATGCAGACACAGAGTCAGTGAAACAATTCTACACAAAATGAAGAATAAATAAGGGGTTAATGTTCATGAAGACATTTTAATTGAATTGGGAACTAGCTAGCTAAATGATACAAAAGTCAACTTCCATTGGCTGGGGTCTGTCCATAGGCAGCTGAGACTCCAGACCAGAAGGATCCACTGCAGGAGGGAAGAGAAACCCAACCCTCACTAAAGCTAGCTAAATTAGCTAGTTAGCAAGCAACACATTACTTTGCTAGCCAATAACATTTAACAATAGCTTTGGCAATTAAATTATATCTAATACATACATGACATTAACTCTACTGAACTTAATTTTTCAAAACAATTCTTACCTTGGTCAGTCACACTGCATGCTGTTGGCAAGCTAAAGGAGGAGCTAACGTTAGCTATCTAGCTAGCTGTGTTAGCAAGCTCGATGAAAACCATTGCTTGCAGTTGAATAAATGATTACCCACCAGGTTACAAACATATTAAATGTTATGAATGTATAATCAACTAAAATGCCAATATCCACGAGAAAGCTTTGTGGCGTTGACAGCTGCTCTCTTCTTCTGAAGAAGAAATTCAAAATTGTAATGGGTGCTCTGTCAGTTGGAGGCGAGGCTGGGCTCGGGGCTCCGGAACATTTGAAATTGTGATTGACAGCTTAGGTGAAAGATATTGTAATATATTTAAAAATATTTGTACAGATATGTTCTAGGTTCAAGTGCCTTTTTGAAATAACACCTCATTATATTTACATATATTTTATTTATTTATATATTGGATAAATAAATGTCCCCAATATATTTAAATACATGTCTATTTTTATTTAAATATATTCCAATATATAATTGTTCCGTATGGGAGCCTAGGTCTATATGTGCACCATGAGTGAGGCCTTTCTAATAATATTAAATTAGTGTAAATGTTTATTTCCAGGAAATCTCTTTCCTATCCTGAGACTTTTCTATGGGGGTTGAACCCTTCTAATTCCCCCGGGTAGAGGGTGCTGTAATGGGGGAGGAGGGAGGGGGTTACAGGGGGCTGGGGTGCGTTCAGCTAGAATAACTTCATCCCGTGATCTCGCTTTCTCTCTCTCTCTGAACACAGGCCTTAAAATATGCTTTTCTCCCCCATGATCTCTTTTCAGCCCTAATAGAGTAGGTTGTGGTAGATGTGAGTTAGTAAGAGGCTTGTTGTATATTGACTGAATTATTAGTGAGCTCATGACGCACTGCAGCAGTAGTTAATAAAACAGTTTTTTTTTTTTTTTTTACCGCTTTCTATTCTAAAACCATGTATAAAGACGGAGTGGTGGACAAGAAGAACAGAAAAGATTTTATACCTTATTTTCTAGGACTAGTTTTAGTTTTATATTGCACGGTTCATCTTGTGTCTTTCACTGCAGCAGCAGCTCAGGAGGACTCCCATTCCAACAGAAAGCGCCGGGCGTTGGGTCAGTGTTTCTATCTCTCCATCAACCGTGATAATCAATGATTTCAAGCCAATAAATGGTGGCAATGTTTGCGCAGCTAATAGCGGTGACTAATTGAGAACACATTTCCATAACGTTCCTCATAAGAATAGGCACAATGTTGCCACAGTGATCATTCAGTAATGTTACATTTATTCAAAAAGCCTATCATTATGTTAGTGTAGACTGTAACTTTTTTTTCACTTCAAATGTTTATTTTTATTGTATATGTTGTTGTTTTTTACTGAGTTTGTAGACTGTTACTTTCTGTAACTTAGACAACTCTGTGTGTGGTGTTCCAGAGAATGAGACAGAGTGTATTACAACCCAGTCGTCTGAGTTTCCAGAGGGGTTCTTCACACTACAGGAGAGGAAGGATGGAGGACTTGTCATACACTTTATGATCATATTTTACATGCTGCTGGCAGTTGCTATAGTCTGTGACGACTACTTTCTACCTTCCCTAGAACTTATCAGTGACCGTAAGTTATCTGTGTGTGTATGTATTAATGTGTGTGTGTGTGTGTGTGTGTGTGTGTGTGTGTGTGTGTGTGTGTGTGTGTGTGTGTGTGTGTGTGTGTGTGTGTGCAAGTGTGTCTGTGTGTTAATGGCAACATCTCTTGGTCTTCTTTCCAGGTCTGGGTCTGTCTCAAGATGTAGCAGGAGCCACCTTTATGGCAGCAGGCAGCTCTGCTCCTGAACTGGTCACTGCCTTTCTGGGTACATAAGGCATCTGAAACATATGCACAACATACAATTACTATGATTGCTGAGAATACCATAGGAACTGCACATCACTACAATCATAATCGTCATCATCATCAAGTGTTAACAGCTGTGTGTGTATGTGTGTGTGTGTGTGTGTGTGTGTGTGTGTGTGTGTGTGTGTGTGTGTGTGTGTGTGGTCTTACCCAGGTGTGTTTGTGACAAAGGGAGACATCGGTGTGAGCACCATCGTAGGATCAGCTGTCTACAACCTCCTGGGGATCTGTGCTGCTTGCGGACTCCTGACCAAAGTGGTATGTGTACACACACACAGAGAGATTATGGGAAGCCTTACCTAACTATAAAGAGCTGTGTGGTATAATAAGCATCCATTCCAGCCAGGGGAAGCTTTAGTAGGTCAAGGAGGGGAGATTATCATCTACATTGTTTTGTCGTGTGTGTGTGTGTGTGTGTGTGTGTGTGTGTGTGTGTGTGTGTGTGTGTGTGTGTGTGTGTGTGTGTGTGTGTGTGCGCGTGTGTGTGTGTAGGGCCGGTCCTGGCCGTTCTGCCACCCTAGGCGAGACCAAAAAATAGCCCATGTTGAAATCAGGTTCATTTTCGATTCTGAATGAAAGTTCAAAATACGTCATTTATAGACGTCTATGTTTGGGCCATATCAAGGCTGGTCCAGAGCGGACCAAAAACGAATGTCCATGGACATGGAGCAAAAACAGACGTCTAAAAGGCTTACTGAGTATAGCCTACAGTGTCGCCTGAAATTACATTTTAGGAATGCCATCTATGTGGTAGACCTACCGTTTGTAAAACAGGTCATTGCATTGGCTTTATTAGTCCTGATTCCTGTGATTTGGCTATTTAAGCTCTGAATATCAGCTACCCAACTTTATCAGGAGTTATCTTGAACCTATTTGCAATGTGTTTACACAGCGGGAAATGCATAAGTATTTTATTTTTCGCTATGATCAGCTCGTCAAAAGTGTACGGATCCGAACTTGAAACCACTGATCATGACAATTTAGCCCACGGGATGAATCTCCTGGACAGCAGTTGTGAGTAGCCTGATTGTCCACACCATATTGTCCATTTTACTTTGACCTGTCCTGTTTTTAGGATATGTTGTTTGATCGCAGTGCTAGCTGTGCCACTAGAGATCCTGGTTCGAATCCAGGCTCTGTCGTAGCCGGCCGCGACCGGGAGACCCATGGGGCGGCGCACAATTGGCACAACGTCGTCCAGGGTAGGGGTGGGAATGGCCGGCAGGGATGTAGCTCAGTTGGTAGAGCATGGCGTTTGCAACGCCAGGGTTGTGGGTTCGATTCCCACGGGGGGCCAGTATGAAAAAAATAATAATGTATGCACTCACCTACTGTAAGTAGCTCTGGATAAGAGCGTCTGCTAAATGACCTAAATGTAAAAAGTTTCTGTCTCATTACATTGTCATACATTTTATCTCCAGCCTGTAGTCTACAGAAAAGGCCACATATTCTTTCTACCATATCCTATATCAGCTACATGATTTATGCTAGATGATTTTTTGAACGGAATGTTAGTGGAGCGCCGCAGCGATGCGTCTCTCCAACAGCTCCCTGGAGAGGCGCGCTGGGAATTGACAAAATACATATTTTGCGTCCCTGTCTTTGAAAAACTGTACACCACATCAGCACTCACCAAAAACGCCCATATGCCACTGGTTGAGAGAAATTGTCATTGTTTTTGGGCAGAATTATGTGAGGTTTTATGTGTTGCTCAAGGTGGGTCTTTGTCAGTTTAGCTCAGCGTGGCGGCCCTGTGTGTGTGTACTATACGCTGTAAACAGTGTGTTTTCTGTCCTAGGTGGGTCGTCTGACCTGTTGGCCTCTGTTCAGGGACTGTCTAGCTTACGCCATCTCTGTCTCTGCTGTTATAGCCATCATCTCAGACAACAAAGTCTACTGGTGAGTGTGTGTGTGTGTGTTAGTGTTAGGAGCTAGGGTTAGTTTTAGGGTTAGGTTTAGGAGCTAGGGTTGGGTTTAGGGTTAAGGTTAAGGTTAGGGTTGGGGAAAATAGGATTTTGAATGGGACTAAATTGTGTGTCCCCACAAGGTTAGTTATACAAGACTGTGTGTGTGTGTCTGTGTGGTGTAGGTGTGTTGTAGGGAGTGCCTTGTGTGTGTGTTTGCAACAGTATAACTTTTCCAGGACAGTGGAATTTTACATGAGGAAGTCAATGAGAACATAATGTATTATACAATAAAGTTAAAGTGCCCTGTGTGTACTGGTGAGTATCTGTGTTCAACTCCACTTCCTCAATCTCAGCACATAGTAACACTTCAAAGCCCAGCGGTGTGATACTAATAATCTAAACAATCATCCTGGGTACACAAACGTCCTATTTTATTACTGCCGGTTACAGAGTCACAATCAGTTCTAATGTACAAGTGATTGTATTAGATTTTTATTAGCATTTAACTCTCCTCTCCCCTCCTCTCTTCTCCTTTCCTCAAATCTGCTCACCGCTCTAATCTTCTCCTCTCCACCTCCCCTCCCCTCTCCTCAGGTATGATGCGGCCTGTCTGTTGTTGGTCTATGGGGTGTACATCGTAGTGTTGTGTTTTGACCTGAGGATCAGTGAGTGTGTTCTGAGGAGGTTCAGCCCCTGCTGTACCTGCCTGGGGAAAGGTTCCGAGGAGCACAGCGAGACACAGCCATTGGTCGACACCACTCTGAGGGTCCACAGACGTTCTAGAAGCGACAGCGGAATCTTCCAGGATGATTCAGGATACTCACACCTTTCCCTCAGTCTGCACGGCCTCAATGAGATACCAGAGGGTAGCTGATTCGATCTGTCACTCACTCACACACACACACACACACACACACACACACACACACACACACACACACACACACATCCCTCTGGTAGATGACACATTGATGCCATGCAGACTGAGAAAGGTGTGTGTGTGTGTGTGTGTGTGTGTGTGTATTCCAGACCACCAGAGTGTGTTCTCGATGCCAGAGAACGACCTGAAGCGGATCCTGTGGGTGCTGTCCCTCCCGGCAATCGTGATTCTATACCTGACGGTTCCAGACTGCAGGAGACGGTTCTGGAAGAAATGGTTCATGTTCACCTTCTTTATGTCCGCTGTCTGGATCTCAGCCTTCACATACGTACTGGTCTGGATGGTCACTATCGTAGGTAAATATATGTACACCGGTCTGGATGGTCACTATCGTAGGTAAATATATATACACTGGTCTGGGTGGTCACTATCATAGGTAAATATATATATACACTGGTCTGGATGGTCACTATCGTAGGTCAATAAATATACACTGGTCTGGATAGTCACTATCGTAGATAAATATATATACACTAGTCTGGATAGTCACTATCGTAGGTAAATATATATACACTGGTCTGGATAGTCACTATCGTAGGTAAATATATATACACTGGTCTGGATAGTCACTATCGTAGGTAAATATATATACACTGGTCTGGATGGTCACTATCGTAGGTAAATATATATACACTGGTGGTCTGGATGGTCACTATCGTAGGTAAATATATATACACTGGTCTGGATGGTCACTATCGTAGGTAAATATATATACACTGGTCTGGATGGTCACTATCGTAGGTAAATATATATACACTGGTCTGGATAGTCACTATCGTAGTTAAATATATATACACTAGTCTGGATGGTCACTATCGTAGGTAAATATATATACACTGGTGGTCTGGATGGTCACTATCGTAGGTAAATATATATACACTGGTCTGGATGGTCACTATCGTAGGTAAATATATATACACTGGTCTGGATGGTCACTATCGTAGGTAAATATATATACACTGGTCTGGATAGTCACTATCGTAGTTAAATATATATACACTGGTCTGGATGGTCACTATCGTAGGTAAATATATGTACACTGGTCTGGATAGTCACTATCGTAGGTAAATATATATACAGGTCTGGAGGGTCACTATCGTAGGTATACATATATATATATATATATATATATATATATATACAGTTGAAGTCGGAAGTTTACATACACCTTAGCCAAATACATTTAAACTCAGTTTTTCACAATTCCTGACTTCTAATCCTAGTAAAAATTCCCTGTCTTAGGTCAGTTAGGATCACCACTTTATTTTAAGAATGTGAAATGTCAGAATAATAGTAGAGAGAATGATTTATTTCAGCTTTTATTTCTTTTATCACATTCCCAGTGGGTCAGAAGTTTACATACATTCAATTAGTATTTGGTAGCATTGCCTTTAAATTGTTTAACTTGGGTCAAACGTTTCGGGTAGCCTTCCACAAGCTTCCCACAATAAGTTGGGTGAATTTTGGCCCATTCCTCCTGACAGAGCTGGTGTAACTGAGTCAGGTTTGTAGGCCTCCTTGCTCGCACACACTTTTTCAGTTCAGCCCACACATTTCCTATAGGATTGAGGTCAGGGCTTTGTGATGGCCACTCCAATACCTTGACTATGTTGTCCTTAAGCCATTTTGCCACAACTCTGGAAGTATGCTTGGGGTCATTGTCCATTTGGAAGACCCATTTGCGACCAAGCTTTAACTTCCTGACTGATGTCTTGAGATGTTGCTTCAATATATCCACATAATTTTCCTTCCTCATGATGCCATCTATTTTGTGAAGTGCACCAGTCCCTCCTGCAGCAAAGAACCCCCACAGCATGATGCTGCCACCCCCGTGCTTCACGGTTGGATGGTGTTCTTCGGCTTGCAAGCAACCCCCTTTTTCCTCCAAACATAACGATGGTCATTATGGCCAAACAGTTCTATTTTTGTTTCATCAGACCAGAGGACATTTCTCCAAAAAGTTCGATCTTTGTCCCCCTGTGCAGATGCAAACCATAGTCTGGCTTTTTTATGGCAGTTTTGGAGCAGTGGCTTCTTCCTTGCTGAGCGGCCTTTCAGTTTATGTCGATATAGGACTCGTTTTACTGTGGATATAGATACTTTTGTACCTGTTTCCTCCAGCATCTTCACAAGGTCCTTTGCTGTTGTTCTGGAATTTATTTGCACTTTTCGCACCAAAGTACGTTCATCTCTAGGAGACAGAACGTGTCTCCTTCCTGAGCGGTATGACTGCTGCGTGGTCCCATGGTGTTTATACTTGCGTACTATTGTTTGTACAGATGAACGTGGTACCTTCAGGCGTTTGGAAATTGCTCCCAAGAATGAACCAGACTTGTGGAGGTCTACCATTTTTTCTGAGGTCTTTCTTTTGATTTTCCCATGATGTCAAGCAAAGAGGCACTGAGTTTGAAGGTACTTAGTGTATGTAAACTTTTGACCCACTGGAATTGTGATACAGTTAATTATAAGTGAAATAATCTGTCTGTAAACAATTGTTGGAAAAATTACTTGTGTCATGCACAAAGTAGATGTCCTAACTAACTTAACAAGAAATTTGTGGAGTGGTTGAAAAACAAGTTTTAATGACTCCAACCTAAGTGTATGTAAACTTCCGACTTCAACTGTATATACACATACACAACCAGTCAAAAGTTTGGACACAGCTACTCATTCAAGGGTTTTTCTTTATTTTTACATTGTAGAATAATAGTGAATACATCAAAACTATGAAATAACACATATGGAATCATGTACAGTGGGGAAAAAAAGTATTTAGTCAGCCACCAATTGTGCAAGTTCTCCCACTTAAAAAGATGAGAGAGGCCTGTAATTTTCATCATAGGTACACGTCAACTATGACAGACAAATTGAGAAAAAAAAATCCTGAAAATCACATTGTAGGATTTTTAATGAATTTATTTGCAAATTATGGTGGAAAATAAGTATTTGGTCACCTACAAACAAGCAAGATTTCTGGCTCTCACAGACCTGTAACTTCTTCATTAAGAGGCTCCTCTGTCCCCCACTCGTTACCTGTATTAATGGCACCTGTTTGAACTTGTTATCAGTATAAAAGACACCTGTCCACAACCTCAAACAGTCACACTCCAAACTCCACTATGGCCAAGACCAAAGAGCTGTCAAAGGACACCAGAAACAAAATTGTAAACCTGCACCAGGCTGGGAAGACTGAATCTGCAATAGGTAAGCAGCTTGGTTTGAAGAAATCAACTGTGGGAGCAATTATTAGGAAATGGAAGACATACAAGACCACTGATAATCTCCCTCGATTTGGGGCTCCACGCAAGATCTCACCCCATGGGGTCAAAATGATCACAAGAACGGTGAGCAAAAATCAGCGAACCACACAGGGGGACCTAGTGAATGACCTGCAGAGAGCTGGGACCAAAGTAACAAAGCCTACCATCAGTAACACACTACGCCGCCAGGGACTCAAATCCTGCAGTGCAAGACGTGTCCCCCTGCTTAAGCCAGTACATGTCCAGGCCCGTCTGAAGTTTGCTAGAGTGCATTTGGATGATCCAGAAGAGGATTGGGAGAATGTCATATGGTCAGATGAAACCAAAATAGAACTTTTTGGTAAAAACTCAACTCGTCGTGTTTGGAGGACAAAGAATGCTGAGTTGCATCCAAAGAACACCATACCTACTGTGAAGCATGGGGGTGGAAACATCATGCTTTGGGGCTGTTTTTCTGCAAAGGGACCAGGACGACTGATCCGTGTAAAGGAAAGAATGAATGGGGCCATGTATCGTGAGATTTTGAGTGAAAACCTCCTTCCATCATCAAGGGCATTGAAGATGAAACGTGGCTGGGTCTTTCAGCATGACAATGATCCCAAACACACCGCCCGGGCAACGAAGGAGTGGCTTCGTAAGAAGCATTTCAAGGTCCTGGAGTGGCCTAGCCAGTCTCCAGATCTCAACCCCATAGAAAATCTTTGGAGGGAGTTGAATGTCTGTGTTGCCCAGCGACAGCCCCAAAACATCACTGCTCTAGAGGAGATCTGCATGGAGGAATGGGCCAAATACCAGCAACAGTGTGTGAAAACCTTGTGAAGACTTACAGAAAACGTTTGACCTGTGTCATTGCCAACAAAGGGTATATAACAAAGTATTGAGAAACTTTTGTTATTGACCAAATACTTATTTTCCACCATAATTTGCAAATAAATTCATAAAAAAATCCTACAATGTGATTTTCTGGATTTTTTTTCCTCATTTTGTCTGTCATAGTTGACGTGTACCTATGATGAAAATTACAGGCCTCTCTCATCTTTTTAAGTGGGAGAACTTGCACAATTGGTGGCTGACTAAATACTTTTTTTCCCCACTGTAGTAACCAAAAAAGCGTTAAATAAATAAAAATATATTTTAGATTCTTCAAATAGACACCCTTTGCCTTGATGACAGCTTTGCACACTCTTGGCATTCTCTCAACTAGCTTCACCTGGAATGCTTTTCCAACAGTCTTGAAGGAGTTCCCACATACGCTGAGCATTTGTTGGATGCTTTTCCTTCACTCTGCGGTCCGACTCATCCTAAACCATCTCAATTGGGTTGAGGTCGGGGGATTGTGGAGGCCAGGTCATCTGATGCAGCACTCCATCACCATCCTTCTTGGTCAAATAGCCCTTACACAGCCTGGAGGTGTGTTGGGTCATTGTCCTGTTGAAAAACAAATGATAGTCCCACTAAGCCCAAACCAGATGGAATGGCGTATCGCTGCAGAATGCTGTGGTAGCCATACTGGTTAAGTGTGCCTTGAATTCTAAATAAATCACAGACAGTGTCCCAGCAAAGCACCCCCACATCATAACACCTCCTCCTCCATGCTTTACGGTGGGAACTGCAAATGCGGAGATCATCCGTTCACCCATACCGTGTCTCACAAAGACACGGCGGTTGGAACCAAAAATCTCAAATTTGGACTCCAGACCAAAGGACAAATTTCCACCGGTCTAATGTCCATTGCTTGTGTTTCTTGGCCCAAACAGGTCTCTTCTTCTTATTGGTGTCCTTTAGTAGTGGTTTATTTGCAGCAATTCGACCATGAAGGCCTGATTCACATAGTCCCCTCTGTGTCTGTGACTTGAACTCAGTGAAGCATTTATTTGGGCTGCAATTTCTGAGGCTGGTAACTCTAATAAACGTATCCTCTGCAGTAGCGGTAACTCTGGGTCTTCCATTCCTGTGGCGGTCCTCATGAGAGCCAGTTTCATCATAGCGCTTGATGGTTTTTGCGACTGCACTTGAAGAAACGTTCAAAGTTCTTGAAATATTTCGTATTGACTGACCTTCATGTCTTAAAGTAATGATGGACTGTCGTTTCACTTTGCTTATTTGAGCTGTTCTTGCCATAATATGGATTTGGTCTTTTACCAAATAGGGCTATCTTCTGTATACCCCACTACCTTGTCACAACACAACTGATTGGCTCAAACACATGAAGAAGGAAAGAAATTCCACAAATAAACTTGTAAGAAGGAACACCTGTTAATTGAAATTCATTCCAGGTGACTACCTCATGAAGCTGGTTGAGAGAATGCCAAGAGTGTGCAAAGCTGTCATCAAGGCAAAGGGTGGCTATTTGAAGAATCTCAACCAGCTTCATGAGGTATATATTTTGATTTGTTTAACACTTTTTTGGTTACTACATGATTCCATATGTGTTATTTAATCGTTTTGATGTCTTCACTATTTTTCTACGATGTAAAAAATAGTAAAAAAATAAAGAACAACACTTGAATGAGTAGGTGTCCAAATTTTTAATTGGTAGTGTATATACAGTCCATTCAGAAAGTATTCAGACCCCTTGACTTTTTCCACAGTTTTCTGCACTGTCTGGTTAAGGAACAAGTTTTGCGTAGGAGTGACGCCACCTGTTGGAAAACAATGTAGTGTTTCTCAATACTCTTCACAGTACATCCTCAATACACAATACATCCTTCCTCAATATATTACCTTAGGCCCCCATGTACAGTCTACAACTGATTTGACACAATGTTTGAGTTTGCCTGAACCATTGTTGTGTCTCCACAACACTTCTGTAATTATTTTTGTGCAAATGTGTCGTATATCAGTGGTCCAATTTGTAAGTCGCTCTGGATAAGAGCGTCTGCTAAATGTCATAAATGTAAATGTATAACTTGTGTATGTATGAGGCCTTACTGCCTGCAGCAGACTGCAGGTGTTATTGAGCAAAACATTTGCAAGTTTTACATGAAAAGAAGGAAGCACATTAGTTTAAACCCCTTTCATGTTCCTCAATCAGAGAGTTAAGGAAGTCCAAGCGAGGAGGTTTAGAAAGTGTGTGAGAACATGTCAGATGTTAGAGTCGAGTCACATGCTGATTCCTGGGATGCCAGAGCAGACCCGGGTCCTACAGGCTTAGTGGAGCTCCAATGGTGGCCAGACACTAGCCCAGCCAGCGGGTCCTACAGGCTTAGTGGAGCTCCAATGGTGGCCAGACACTAGCCCAGCCAGCGGGTCCTACAGGCTTAGTGGAGCTCCAATGGTGGCCAGACACTAGCCCAGCCAGCGGGTCCTACAGGCTTAGTGGAGCTCCAATGGTGGCCAGACACTAGCCCAGCCAGCGGGTCCTACAGGCTTAGTGGAGCTCCAATGGTGGCCAGACACTAGCCCAGCCAGCACTGGGATTACACACACACACACACTCACGGATGCAGACGCATGCAAATGAAGGCACACAAACACAGGCACACTTAAACACAGACGCAGACATGGACTGACGCACGTACATACACAACATGTACAAACACACAACGCGCGCGCACACACACACACACACAGACGCACACACACAGCAGTAGGATTACCACCTGCTTCACCTCAGACACTGCATGGCTGCCAGGAGACGTCATGTGAGCTTTGGGTGGGAGTAGCCTCTAGGCACAGATCTAGGATCAGCTATCCCCAAGCTTTACCATTACAGAGAAAACACAAAGAACTGACCTTACATCAGTGTCGAGGACTGATGTTGTCATGTGATGTTGGTAGACATGAGTATAATGGGATTATTATCCTTTAACCTTCAGAACAACTCACATGAGAGAGAGAGAGGGAGGGGAGGAAGGGGTGAGAGAGAGGGAGGGGGAGGGAGAGAAAGAAAGAGGGAGATGGGGAGAGAAGAGAGAGGGATGGGGAGAGAGAGGCAGAGCGAGGGAGATGGCCTTATGGGGGAGAGAGAGAGAGGGAGCGAGAAAGAGAAACCAAGAAAGAGAGGCTGGAGAGCAGAGAACGGAGAGAGAGAGAAAATAAAGTGTGCGGTCAATGGGGGCATTGATGTGTATTTCCCTGCGGTGTCTCTCTGTCGTCTGAACTTTGCAACGTGACCAGTAAGGCTTGGGATTCCTGAGGAGGTGCAGGGGGGAAAGATGAAAGAAGGGATGGAGGGATGGATGGGGGATCGAGGACTCCTTTAAAGTAGTGTTTCTAAAACATTTTGCACTGTTGTCCACCTTATTGTGTTTCCAGTGTTATATCTGCCTGTATCCTGTGTGTTATATCTGCCTGTATCCTGTGTGTTATATCTGCCTGTATCCTGTGTGTTATATCTGCCTGTATCCTGTGTGTTATATCTGCCTGTATCCTGTGTGTTATATCTGCCTGTATCCTGTGTGTTATATCTGCCTGTTTCCTGTGTGTTATATCTGCCTGTATCCTGTGTGTTATATCTGCCTGTATCCTGTGTGTTATATCTGTCTGTTTCCTGTGTGTTATATCTGCCTGTATCCTGTGTGTTATATCTGCCTGTATCCTGTGTGTTATATCTGCCTGTATCCTGTGTGTTATATCTACCTGTTTCCTGTGTGTAATATCTACCTGTTTCCTGTGTGTTATATCTACTTGTGCTCTCTATGTTAGGAGAGACCCTGGCCTGGGTGTCCCAGACACAGTGATGGGCCTGACTGTGTTGTATGACATATCTGACCCTGTGTTGTGTTGTATCTGACCCCGTGTTGTGTTGTATCTGACCCTGTGTTGTGTTGTATTTGACCCTGTGGTATGTCTACGTTGTAACAGTAGAGAGTATCCCATACAGTAATGGGTCTGACTCTATGTCCTGTGTATCTGACTGTGTGTTCTCTGTGTTGTATGTAACAGGAGAGACCCTGGGTATCCCAGACACAGTAATGGGCCTGACTCTGTTAGCTGCAGGGACCAGTATACCAGACACAGTGGCTAGTGTCATGGTCGCCAGAGAAGGTAACTACTACTGTAGCTTCATTTCTGATCCTTTCTGACCTTTAGTCCCCCTGAGATACATCTCCTTTCCAGGACAGTAGACGGAGCCCACAGCTGCAACTTCTTCCACTATATGTCCCCCTTATCATAATCGTGCAAGTCACATAAGTACCCCGTTGCTGACAGGTGTACAAAATCGAGCACACAGCCCTGCAATCTCCATAGACAAACATTGGCAGTAGAATGGCCTTACTGAAGAGCTCAGTGACTTTCAACGTGGCACCGTCATAGGATGCCACCTTTCCAACAAGTCAGTTCGTCAAATTTCTGCCCTGCTAGAGCTGCCCTTGTCAACTGTAAGTGCTGTTATTGTGAAGTGGAAACATCTAGGAGCAACAACGGCTCAGCCGCGAAGTGGTGGGCCACACAAGCTCACAGAACGGGACCGCCAAGTGCTGAAGCGCCTAGTAAAGATTGTCTGTCCTCGGTTGCAACACTCACTACCTAGTTCCAAACTGCCTCTGGAAGCAACGTCAGCACAAGAACTGTACGTCGGGAGCTTCATGAAATGGGTTTCCGTGGCCGAGCAGCCGCACACAAGCCTAAGATTACCATGCATAATGCCAAGCGTCGGCTGGAGTGGTGTAAAGCTCGCTGCCATTGGACTCTGGAGCAGTGGAAACGCGTTCTCTGGAGTGATGAATCACGCTACACCAACTGGCAGTCTGATGGACTAATCTGGGTTTGGCGGATGCCGGGAGAACGCTACCTGCCCCATTGCATGGTGCCAACTGTAAAGTTTGGTGGAGGAAGAATAATGGTCTGGGGCTGTTTTTCATGTCGTGCTAGGCCCCTTAGTTCCAGTGAACGGAAATCTTAACGCTACAGCATACAATGACATTCTAGACGATTCTTCCAACTTTGTGGCAACAGTTTGTGGAAGGCCCTTTCCTTTTTCAGCATGACAATGGCCCGTGCACAAAGCGAGGTCCATACAGAAATGGTTTGTCAAGATCAGTGTGGAAGAACTTGACTGGCCTGCACAGAGCCCTGACCTCAACCCCATCGAACACCTTTCAGATTAATTGGAAAGCCGACTGCGAGCCAGGCCTAATTGCCCAACATTAGTGCCCGACCTCACTAATGCTCGTGATTGAATGGAAGCAAGTCCCCGCAGCAATGTTCCAACATCTAGTGGAAAGCCTTCCCAGAAGAGTGGAGGCTGTTATAGCAGCAAAAGGGGGACCAACTCCATATGAATGCCCATGATTTTGTAATGAGATGTTCGCCGAGCAGGTGTCCATATACTTTCAGTCATGTAGTGTAGGTACAACATTGGGTTATATGTCATCTTACCTCTCCTCTTTCCTCCCCTCTCTCTCTCGCTCTATTCCAGGTAAAGCCGACATGGCCATGTCCAACATCGTGGGCTCCAATGTGTTTGACATGCTGTGTCTGGGTCTTCCCTGGTTCATCAAGACGGTGTTTGTGGACACGGTCAACCCTGTGGAGGTCAACAGCACCGGTCTGGTCTTCATCTCCGCCACCCTCCTCCTCTCAATCGTCTTTCTCTTCGTGGCGGTCCATATAAACGGCTGGAAGCTGGACTGGAAGCTGGGGATCGTCTCTCTGTTCTGCTACGTCGTTTTTGCCACTCTGGCCATCCTCTACGAACTGGGCATCATTGGGAACAACCCTGTCAGACTGTGCGGCGACTGATGCACACACAGAGACATACAATAACACACACTAACACACAGGGCTGCTGCAGGCCGCACTCATCAGACTGTGTAGTGGCTGAGGGGCAGAGATGGAGTCCACACTCCAGCCCTCCCCCAGAACCAGGCTACCCAGAACCAACCTCTTGACACTTGACCATTTATACAAAACCCAGATTCCCAGTCTCAGAGTGCTGATATAGGATCAGGTCCACCCTGTCCATGTCATCTTATTCATTATGATCTAAATCAGTGGTATTCGAAGTCGGGTTGCGACCCCACTTGCAGTGGTGCTTGTGGACACGGTCTTTATAGGAGTGTTGGATCACCAAATTCAAAGAAATAAATAAAATGTTGTTTTTTTTACAAAAACTTAACAGCACATATTATATGGGAAACTATACATTTTTTTTTGAGAAAGATAATTTGACAAATAAAATAGCAGAGTACATTATTTTTTTCTTTTCGTTTCAATAAGAGATAAAATGCAATGAATTTAAGGTTATTTGTTGATGTAAAAATCTAAATGTACAGATATTAAGGTGGGGTGGCAAGAAATTCTGGTGAAAGAAATGGGATCCCCGCTGAAAAGGTTTGAATACCACTGATCCTAGACCAACACTCCTACTCTGACACGCTTTATGAATACAGGCCCAGGACTTTGGGTGCCAAGACCAAGATAATGGCTACATCTCAAATGACACCTTCCCCAACTTAGGTCTCTGGTCAAAATAAGTGCACTTAAATGTATGTAGGGCAGGGGTATTCAACTCTTACCCTACGAGGTCTGGAGCCTGCTGGTTTTCTGTTCTACCTGATAATATATTGCAGCCACGCCTAAATCACTTCCTGATTAGAGGGGAACAATTAAAAAATGCAGTGGAACTGGCTTCAAAGTCCAGAGTTGAGTTTGAGGGGTGCAGGGTGTGATTTGAGATGCAGCCCCATACTACCTGCTGAGTGAGAATGATCCAGCAACACTGCCTTTGACCTCTAACTCAGGAAATAAAGCTGCCCTTTAATATTCTATGGGACTCTGGTAATGACAAGATAAGGATAGCATTTACATTTTAGTCATTTAGCAGACGCTCTTATCCAGAGCGACTTACAGTTAGTGAGTGCATACTAGCAGAGGAAGAGGCGAAGCAAGAGCGATAACTGGGACCAAATGTTGTTTTTTGCTCAACAAGCAGTTTTTGTATGGAGGTCAATGAATTCCATATTTGGTCACCAAAAAAATTGAATGGCCTATGCTTAGGTTATGAGTGTACTGATATAAGTAGGACACGTGACTTCCCAGCAACTTTGAGAAAAAAAAAACCTTTATAAGGGGGATGTTGCGTCTGTACACCCACATTTCTGCCCTCTCATTTGCTAGAATGGTCCCACCTGATCTTGCCTCCTCCGACTGCCTTGCATTTTTAATTGTTAGAGCAGCCACTAGAGTCTGGTCAATATAATGGATAATCTGTCATTACTCAACGCTGGTGAACGAGGAAGGGAAGGAGGGAGGGGGTGTTGTCCAGGCAGAACAGATAAGCGTTAACAAGCAGCCTGTGTTGCGCAACAGTAAGGAGTGAGGACAGGATCGTAAAGAGAAGAAACCCAAAAGTTTCCACTGGTCTTCTTATTTTTATTTAACTAGGCAAGTCAGTCAAGAACAAATTCTTAATTACAATGACGGCTTACCCCTGGCCAATTGTGCGCCGCCCTATGAAACTCCACATCACCGGCGGATTGTGATACAGTCTGGAATTGAACCAGGGTCTATAGTGAATCCTCTAGCACTGAGATGCAGTGCCTTAGACTGCTGCGCCACTCGGGAGCCCACTCGAAAGTCTATATGGCCTGAGAGGGGACAAACATTAACGATGACTCAGTCAGGACAGAGAGACGGAGCCTGAAACTACTGTTCAAGTTAAAGGCAAGAAAGTATCCATTCAGTTGTCCACTTCATGAAGACTCCCAGTGTATACTAGCCAAAGATCCTATTACATTATTAGTAGTATTCTAGTTCTATGATACTAGCAAACTAAACATTTATGGACACTAGTTTCTCACATCTTTTGTCAAAGTGAGCCATTATACCAGTTAACTTGACTGGTTGATTCTCCTACACCATTGTGGTCTAGTTACCTACGGTGTAGAAAAGGTAATCTTCAGTGCTATTTTGGCTAGCCCCAGAGGACACAGTGTTACAATGGTGTACAAGTACAATGACACTTGCAATTTATTTGTGGTGTTTCACCTGCAATGAACCTTTGTATTCAATTAAAACGCACCCACACAACCCTGCTGTGAACTGGCCAGTAGCCTTTGATCCCATAATAACATTTACAACTACTAAGTAAAAAAATTAAAACGTTTATTCATTCAAATAAACTTATGACCCACAAAAAAAAAAAAAGGCTTACAAAAAAAAGTAAAGATTAAAAGAAAAACAGACCTTATACACATCCAGTAGTTATGGAAACGGGGAGACATGGAAAATGTGTTTTTAAAACAAAACAAAAGCGATTGGCGATGGAACGAGCGGTTGTGGTGACCGTGTGTGTATGGTGTGTGAGGCTCTAGGCGTTGCGGTCGATGCGGACGTCAACCTCGCGACCGTTGATCTTGGTTCCGTTCATCATCCTGCAGGCCTGGTTAGCGCTCTCTGGCGAGTCAAACCTGACCGTACCACAGCCCTTAGACTTTCCTCCCTCCATCTTGATCTCTGCAAACATCACCTGGCCTGGAGAGGGAGGGCACAGAGAGAGAGAGAGAGAGAGAAAGAGCAGTAGAGTGTTTAAGCACTGACACTGCTAAAGCCATGACAGTACTGCAGCTCAAAGCTACATTCAATCCATCTGCAGGTTGTTCAGTACAGTAGACTGATTGAAGAGGCTTACCACAGACACTGAACTTCTCCTTGAGTTTCTGCCAGGTCAGGTCATAGGACAGCTACAACACAACACAGGACATTAGAACACAGAGGCCTAAAATACTTTAGGGGCATTTTCACAGAGCTAGATGATGCCTACTCCTCTGTCTAAAAGCGCTTCCAATTCACGCTACTTAATCTGTGTCCATGATGAAAATATCCATACAGGAGTACACATCATATAGTTGATTTGATCAACCTTATTAAAACATGTGTTTGGTGCTTTAATGTGCTTAAAAGGGGGAGTGCACATCATGTCATATAATGCACATTTATACAGTATTCATTTATTAAACATACATTTCTGACAAAGATCTGACATCCTCCCTTTGCTCTGTCAGACATGGCTCCTCCTCCGTAGCCCCCGAACCCTCGGCTCATGGCCATGCTCCCCCCCATACGGTCGTAGCCAGAGCCCATCCGCTCCATGGACCGGCTGCCCATACCACCTTAGTAGAGGACACAGGGAATATGAGTGAGTGTCTCAGATCGGAATTCCTACCGCAGTGGTATTCGGGGTTCTGCAGGCTTTAGTTCCAGCCAAGCACTACCACACCTACCATTCATCAAATCAAGGTCAAGCACAGTGAAACATTGGCAGTCTGACATGTGAGATGTGTGTGCTAACAGACAGTGAGAGCCGAGAGAGAGTAGACAGACAGATGTGAAGGATGTTAATGTAATGGTGGTGTACCTAATCCTCCCCCAACGGGCCCCATGCCAAAACTGCTCATGCCTCCTCCATAACCTCCTCCTGATGGAGAGAACGCATGGCATCATACACACGTTACCACAACCTATCAGCGCATCACAACTCAAACAAGTTACAGCACAAACTTCTGTCAGTAACATGTTGGAGACATAGGGCTGAATGCTAACTTGACCAGTGTTGTGTTACCCATGTAGGAGTTGTGATTCAGCTCTTAGTACAGTCTACCTACAGGTTCCAGTTGCAAGCTACACCACGACCACACTACAACATGCCTAGTCTACTGCCACCACTGACCATGCTGTTAGCGGATGGATATATGAGGGCTATGGACTATGGAATAGATTATGATGACTGACAGTCACAAGTGTGTGTTTGTGAATGAGAGAAAGTGTGAGTGAAAGTGTGAATAAGTGAGTGAAAGAGTGAGTGTGTAAACTACTCACCCATTCCTCCAAAGGAGTCCCCAAAGCCTCTGCTCATGGACATGTCACTGCGACCAAAGTCTCTGTCCATCCCTCCTCCCATCCCTCCTGACCTGTAGGACATGTCTGGAGAGGGGGAGGGAGAAGCAAAGACAAGGGAAGAGAGGAAGAGAAGGCGCAGAGTCAGAAATATACTCGGTGGAAAGTTGCCATTAAACTTCAGTGTTTGCGAATTTGACTTATTTAGTCCTTACGTTAGTTGTGTGTAGTGATGGGGGGGGGGGGGGGGGGGATCTATACAGTTACATATCGCAATATTATATTGATACTATCTATTTGTAAAAATATTGCTTTTTGCTAGGTAGCGTTAGTTAGCGCTAGTCGGATGTACCTGCGCCAAAACGGCTGCATTTTTCATCCTATATCTTGTTCACATCTTTAAAAAAAAGAGTGAGCCTACATGTTTTCAGCACTTCTATTTCCCTGACTGATTTAAACTATTAAAAAAACTATTAAAACGATACTTTTTATCATGCTGTCTCGTCTGTCTGCAGCAGACATATCGTGAACAATGAGTTTGTAACATCAAATCCCAGTAACGAATCGCGATATCTACCTACATGAGAATATAGTATCGGCACAATATTGTAACGTGAGGTCCCTGGCAATTTCCAGCCCTAGGTGTGTGTGTGTGTGAGAGAGAGTGTCCTTACCTCCCATCCGTCCCATGTCTCTGGCTCCGAATCCCCCCATGCTGTCCATGCCCCCGAACCCTCCTCCACGACACACACAGGATTATTATATTAATGGATAGTCTTGGCACAATAACCCATGTGTTGTCCAGCCATGTAACAGAATGATACAGCAGAGAGATCTATTCTCTAGGACCTTACCTCCTAGTCGGCCCATCCCTCCATATCCAGGTCCTCCTTCCATACCTGACAGACAGAGTCACACACTTCACGTCTCACTGCTTTTAAGAGCATATTCACACGTTGTTGTACTAAAGCTTATTCTACATTATCTCTAGACAACACTTTCCACCCACCAACAGTGGGTGAAGGGTGAAGCATGTCAGTCTAGGAGGGAACGGTGTCAGTGTGTGATGTAAGCGCTTGGAGAAGGTCCAGGAACAACATGTAGAGGATTTAAAACAAATAGCTAATCTTCACAACCGATAACTATCTTATCTATGAACTGACTGGCTCCTCGTCTGACCTGCAGTCTCTGTGCGTGGTTTAAAAAGTAACAGTGCGTTTGCTGGAGTATTATGGAGAGGTTAGGGGTCAGTACTAACCTGCAGGGCCCATGTTGCCCATTCCTCCTCCACCACTCAGCCGGTTGGCATTGATAGGTTGTCCTCCTGGTCCCAGGCCCATCCCGATCCCTCCCAGACCCCCTACACACATAGGACAGAGAGGAGAAGGTTGGAGTATGTTTGACCACACAAACGTATACATCCCTTATGAGATGCCTTGGTTCACTGGAGAAGAGAACACTGAGCAGGTGACAACATGACCCTGTTACAGAGATAATTATAAAGTAAAGTCATTCTATCAGATTACATTAACTTAACATACAGGTGTGTTCTAGTGATAGTCAGGATGGGACAGGATGTGTACTCACGTGGTAACTGGGGAGCTTTCTCCACCGGGTGGAAATCATCAGCTGGCATAGACTTGTCATCCTGAAACACACAGAAACAACATATCAAGAGGTGGTTCTTACACAACCGATATTACCACATCAACATGTAACAACCTCTATGACCTGTGACCTTCCACACACACATTAACTGTGTACAGTGTTAGAGGTTTAGAAATCAGAAACATGCCAATAACAAAGCATACTTACCATCTTAACATGCATCTGTCTGTCAAACAGCATTTGGCCATTGAACATGGCTAGAGAACAGAGTTAAGGAATACCATCAATTACATTTTTTTGTCACATGCTTCCTAAACAACAGGTGTAGACTAACAGTGAAATGCTTATTACAGGTCCTTTTCAAACAATATAAGTGACATGAATAAATACATGGTGAATAAGGAATAAGAATAACAGCTAGGACATGTATAAAGAGTTGTGTATTAGGCCGGTATAAAAAGTTACGCGTCTTCTTCCGTAGTATAACCGTATGCGGGATACAGATAGCATGTGCAGCCTGTTGGAAGGTGTGCGTGTTCTGTGGTAGTATATAATATATAAAGGATACAGATAGCCTGTACAGCCTCCAGGGCCTGTTCGAAGGTAACAGTCCCCATCCCTCTACTCTTCCCATCCTTATCCTCCTTCACATCAGCCCTCTTCACTGTTCCTGCCATACCAAACACCTCCTTCAGCTTCTTCCAGCCCACCTTGAAGTCCAGCTGGGAGGAGACAGCACAGAGGGGACCGGGTTAGCATAGAAACAACCATTACCATACAACACATCTAAACAGACAGGAGGGGACCGAATTAGCAATAGCATTCAGCACAGCGAAACTAACATGGTACTTCAAGTTCTAGGACGACGCAGTTGGACTTGAGATTTAGAGCGCACAGCTCAAGTTCTCTTCAATTGGTGAACAGAATTATTGGTAGGTTAACTTCTGAGACTTCAAAACATCAGATATAAATATTACTCATCTCATATCTATATACTGTATTCTATACTATTCTACTGTATCTTAGTCTATGCCGCTCTGACATTGCGTGTCAATATATTTCTTTATATACTCTTAATTCCATTGCTTTACTTAGATTTGTGTGTATTGGGTATATGTTGTGAAATTGTTAGATATTACTTGTTAGATATTACTGTCGGAGCTAGAAACACAAGCATTTCGCTACACCTGCTATAACATCTGCTAAACACGTGTATGTGACCAATAAAATGTGATTTGATTTTAGGGAGAGAGAAGAGGAGAATGAGACGTAAGAGTTCAGTATGTATGTTTGTCCTCACGTTGGCTACGAACACAGTGGTCCCTAGCCGTCCGACACGTAGAGAGCTGATGACCTCATGGGGGACGTTTGGGTTGTTAGCGATGGAAGGGGGTACACCTACACCCCCCGGTCCACCCTCCTGCCCCCTGCCTCCCCCTCCAGGGTACATCCCCCCTGTACGCTGCAGCACGCGCCGAGCACGCTCCCCATCAGGATCCTGGAAGATGGAAACAGATAACCGCTAAACGTTTACCTAGAACTTCAACTCTGAGCTTTAACCCTCCACATCAGGGTTCTGGAGCAGGGAAACAAGGGGTTAAACACAGATGGCCCCAAACCTTTGACCTATAATTACAACTCTAACCTTTGACTTTAACTAGGTCTAGTTCACAGTGAATACAGTTAAGACAGTCTCAAGAGGATAAACATTACAAACCATGTTAATGCAACCACATTCCCAGCAGGCTGGATTTAAGTGCAGATTTAGCACACCACTGAGTTTAATCTCTCATCACCGTGTGGTGCCTACAGAATGTGAATGGGTCCTTACCGCCATAATATTGAGGGGTCTTCCATTCAGGTCATGTTTGTTCATGACTTCTATGGCCTTCTTCACAAACTCCTCATCTTTGAACTCCACAACACTGCAGGACAGACAGGACAGTCAGTGGATGAAGACATGTATAACAATGACTCAGGAAGTTAGGTGCGTCTCAAATGGACCCTATTCCCCATGTAATAGCACACTACTTTTGACCAGAACCGTATGAGCCAGCCCCATGTGGCTCTGGTCAAAAGTAGTGTACTTTTAAAATATTAAAAAGTAAATCCGGGACACTGAAATTCGTATGACTTGTCAAGTTTGGTATAGTTACATAAAACAGAAGTTTACTTAAGGCCAAAGCGAAAAGGTGGTTGGTTGGGTTAGATGGTGGGCATATAATGCGAACGTCTAGCAACCCAAAGGTTGCGTGTTCGAATCTCATCATGGACAACTTTAGTAACTACTTACAACTTTTCAGCTACTTAGCTAAATCTAACACGTTAACCTAACCCTAATCCCTAACCTAGCTAACATTAGCCACCTAGCTAACGTTAGCCACAACAAATTGGAATTTGTAACATATCATACGTATTGCAAATTCGTAACATATTGTACAAACTGCAATTCATAACATATGCGAATTGTAATTAGTAACATTTCATAAGAAATTAATACACACCATACAAAACGTAAAATGTCATACTAAAGGGAGTTGTCTGTGATTGACATTTATTTATTTAACTAGGCAAGTCAGTTAAGAACAAATTGTTATTTACAATGACTGCCTACCCCGGCCAAACCCGGACGACGCTGGGCCAATTGTGCACCGCCCTATGGGACTCCCAATCACGGCTGGATTGTGATACAGCCTGGAATCGAACCAGGGTCTGTAGTGACGCCACTTGCACTGAGATGCAATGCCTTAGACCCCTGTGCCACTCGGGAGCCCATTATACATACAGAATAATACGAAATGCACTGAGACCATGTTGCAAAGTTAGACAGGTAAAGTCTGGTTCCTTACCCACATCCCTGTACAGGTAACACCAGGGGATCCAGAGACAACACAGATCCATAACAGAGGGAATGAACAAAGACAGTGATTAGACTGACAACAGTTAACATCATTATTACACATCTGACATCATGCTATTAGTGGATTACATAATCCATCTTGAAGGGCCAGCTAACAGGCCTTGGTGTGGGGAGTGTGTTTTGTTTGTATCCAAGGAAAAAAATTAAGTGAATTTAAAAGACATTGACTTGGGTTGCTATAGACTCGTTTTTCTTGTTCTCAGTGGAGACATAGTACCCTTACCATCTTCAGTGGAATAACAAGGACTCAGGATATACTTACAAATAGCAAATATGTCCGTTCTGTCTACGTTTGTTTTAGAGTTAACACTAAACAGTCAGTTTGAGTTAAAGTACATATTACATTAAATGGTTGAGTTGAATGCATTCACAACCTAGTTTGCAAATTCCTGGATGTATCATAATACTAAAGATTAATAAACGATGGTGAGATTTTCTTGTGAGCCGCTGGAAAAAGAAGAAAGTTATTTTATACAATATCTACAATATTTTAGAAATAATTAGTTTTGTTCATGAAGAGATAATTGTGCCATTGATCCAAATAAAAAGGTAACAAAATTTGAAGACCAAAAAGTCAAATGTCAATCAATAAGACATCACAAAATCCCTTTGAGAAATGGTCAACTGCCAAACTTTGACACCAATTGAGAAAACTACAACAACTTAAAAACAAATGTGTACTAAGTTTCAGATGAATTCAAGTTAGTGTTCCAGAATCAACAAGAAGACATCCTCCATCATCACTCTACAGCCAACTAGGCTATAACAGGCTCTAGCTAACAGCCACCAACATATCATCCCATAGACATACATGGAGAACCCCTTGGATCAGTGCCTTACAGAACACTTGGTAAATAAAGAGATACTGCAGTGGAGGGCATTTAAAACCTCGTGCAGTGAGTTGGTCCACATCACTTACCCTTGACTTTCCTTCAGCATCCTTAAAGAGCTCCACGTATGTAACCTCACCAACTTCATGAGACATACAAAGGAAAAATACCAAGAGAACAAAAGGCATTTAAAATCACCAGTCGACTGTTGAACCACCACTCTCTCGCTCCAGGGCAGGCCGTTGCCTTGGTTATGCCGTTACGATGCTTCCCCATGATTGGTCAACAGTGAGCCCAGACCAACAGTCACCACACAACCCCCTTCCAATGCCTTCCTGGGCTCGACTGAGACAGACACACAGTCAGTCAACTACTGTCAACCTGGGAATTCAGATCACACTTCAGTATAAAAGAACAGTTTGGTCAACACGGTTCCTGTCAACATGGCAAGAAGTCACTACAGTTTAAAAAGGTGTCCTTTTCACCTTGCAAAAAAACACTTTTTGAAGAGCTAAAGACCCAATAGTTCAGTGCACAGAAAGACAATGGTTTCATTCATACAAAACAATAATTTGTCACCTTAACACAGGTTCAACTGAATCAAGTGCTCAAGTAGTCAATACTACTACTTGTCTGAGGTTACATTTTGGAGCTATAAGTCAATATCATAAAACCAATAGTAGCTAACTACATAACTAAAATCAACTTTAACAAGCACAGACATTTCAATTCAATCCAAGCTAAATTGGTGTCCACCCAGGAGTAAAAAATGAAATAAATCCAGAAATGTCTCTATTCTACTGACTTAGTAATATCTGCAATACAATAACATTCTGCCTCAGAAGGAACTACGAGAAGATGTGGCTAGGTCTATGTTCTGGTCACAAAGAGAGGACTGAGAAAGCTCCTGTTGAGCTGGCGAGAAGGGGCCCATCTCTATAGGGAGAAGCAGCTTGACCCTGTGTGTGGATGGATTACCTTTCTCTCTCATCAGATCTTTAATAGCCTGCCACTTCGTGTCATAGGGGATATTGCTAATGAACACGCGGTTCCTGTGACCCCCTCCTCCACCCTTCTTGTCCCCGGTGACCTGCTTCTCTTTGTAGGGGTGGAAGCGGTTCCCTTTGCGGCCTCCTCCAGACGTCTTTTCTTTGAGCTCAGACTTGGTATTCGGGGTTGGGGCGGTTGCGGGGGCATCAGTGGGGTCGTCTGCGAGGGCTTCGGCATCATTGATAGGGGCGTCATCGATAGGGTCACCATCTACAGGGGTATCATCATCACCAAGGACCTCATCTCCAAGGACCTCGTCATCACCCAGGCCTAGGTCCTCTTCTTCTGCAGGGGCATCTTCGCCAAGAACCTCGTCTTCTTCTGGCTCTCTGAAGAAAACACAGAAGAGTACAGTATTAATGGATGTAGCTAGCTTGTCTGTTATAGCTAATGTTACCTAAACCTACATGGCATGGTAATTTCACTGATGTGCCAAATAATAAAGATGTGCACATAACAGTTTATGCAACTTCAATCTCCCCTAACTAACATGGATTTATGGACACAAACGGCTAATTAGCTACAAAGTCATATTTTCATCCAACTGGAGGGTGGAAGAGAGGAGAGGAAAGTTACTGTAGGCAACTCTCTGGATTCAACTACAAATTGACTCCATTCAAACTGTCGGCTCCGCACTGGCAATACATTACCACCAACTGTCTGCTGTTGGCTAGCTAACGGTTCGCTAGCTAAATCTCCATTAAGGGACTGTGCACCTAAACCATATAAATCTTATTAAATTACTAGAGGGGCCATCTAACTGTAAGTCGCTCAGAGCGTCTGCTAAGTGACTAAAATGTAAATGTCATAAACCTTCAAAGTCCCAGAATGGATCCCAGAATGGGATGAAAATGGCAGCCATATTGGTCAGGGAGAAATCAAAACTAATCTAATTGGAATGGATGGCAGTAGAGGCATAATCCTGATTTTAAATATGTAGTCAAATAAAAGGCATGTGACATATCCGAAATATTGTAATAGAATTGTCAACTTAAAGTAGTCTTAAAATTACAGTTTATATGGACTTCATACAAATGTTTGGTATAAATAGACATATATATATAGATAGATAAACCTTAAAATGTCTAAATGTTTCTTTTCTTGGAAAGCAATATTAGTACTTGTTGAATTGACAACTTGTCCAAGTCCCATCATCAACTGATTTCAGTTGGCTGTGGATTGACTGCATTGTTTGAATGGAATGTTGTCATTGTCAGTAAAAAAAATGGCTAACTAACATACAGTGCGAAAACATTCCTCAAATTCATTATTTTACACAATGTCTCATCACAGTACTGGAAAACCATGGTTGACCAACTCCCTGCCCAAAATGGCTGACCTTTATCCCCCCATAAGGTTCATACCCGTTCTAGTGTTCTATTTCCTAATTCTATGAGTTAAACGCACTAGCCAGATAGTAAATTTAGCTAGCTACACATGGTTGGATGGCTAAAAACCATTTAGTGGTCTGCATAACTAGCTAGTAAAATAACGACATATTACACAAATCTTAAAAAATTTTGATGACCAACTAAGACGATAACCAACAAGTTAGCTAGTTAGCAAGCAAAGTAGCAACTAGCTAGCAAACGTTAGCTAGTTTTAATGATAGCGTTAATGCTAGGCTAATGTTGCTAACGTTAGCTAGCCTCCATCTTGCCGGTGAGTGCAGCACAGATTGTGCCAGAAAAATACGATGTTTTAGTTACATTTTCAGGCCATTCGTGCCATCCTGAGATGTTCCCTCGGTCTCAGCCTCGATGGGTTCAATAGTTTCCTGGGCAATATCTGCCATATTCGTCTGTTTGCAGAGAAAGCTAATTCAATCGAGAGATGCGCCTCCGCTCACACTGCGCAGTTTAAAATAAGTAACGCTCCAGGCCTCCACCAACGCGAGAAAATGCGAGAATTTGGCCTGGATGTCTAAAGCCTAAACACCGGTAGATTTCCTACATACAATTGATATATTTCTACACATTTTCGATTTGGTTTTAGTAATTTCAATGTCGACTAAGAATTGTTTTCCCCCGAAAATAAATAAATACATATTTATAAATTAAATAAAATACAATTTTTTTTATATATATATATACTGAACAAAAATATAAACGCAACGATTTTACTGAGTTACAGTTCATATAAGGAAAGCGTCAATTAAAATTGTACATTTGAGTCATTTAGTAGACGCTCTTATCCGGAGCAATTTACAGTAGTGAGTGCATACACTTTCTAAATTAATTAGGCCCTAATCTATGGATTTCACATGACTGGGCAGGAGCGCAGCCATGGGTTGGCCTGGGAGGGCATAGGCCCACCCACTTGGGAGCCATGCACACTCACTGGGGAGCCAGGCACAGCCAATCAGAAATAGTTTTTCCCCACAAAACGGCTTTATTACAGACACAAACTCCTCAGTTTTATCAGCTGCCCGGGTGGCTGGTCTCAGACAATCCAGCAGGTGTATAAAAATGGATGTGGAGGTCCTGGGCTGGCGTGGTTACATAGGTAAGCCAGTTGAGAACAAGTTCTCATTTACAACTGCGACCTGGCAAAGATAAAGCAAAGCAGTGCGATAAAAACAACAACAACACAGAGTTACATATGGGGTAAACTAAACGTACAGTCAAAAACACAATAGAAAATCTATATACAGTGTGTGCAAATGTAGTAAGTTACGGAGGTAAGGCAATAAATAGGCCATAGTGCAAAATATTTACAATTTAGGATTAACACTGGAGTGATAGATGTGCAAAAGATGATGTGCAAATAGAGATACTGGGGTGCAAATGAGCAAAATAAATAACAATATGGGGATGAGGTAGTTGGGTGGGCTAATTACAGATGGGCTGTGTACAGGTGCAGTGATCGGTAAGCTGCTCTGACAACTGATGCTTAAAGTTAGTGAGGGAGATAAGAGAATCCAGCTTCAGAGATTTTTGCAGTTCGTTCCAGTCATTGGCAGCAGAGAACTGGAAGGAATGGCGGCCAAAGGAGGTGTTGGCTTTGGGGATGACCAGTGAGATATACCTGCTGGAGCGCATACCACGGGTGGGTGTTGCTATGGTGACCAATGAGCTAAGATAAGGTGGGGATTTGCCTAGCAGTGATTTATAGATGACCTGGAGCCAGTGGTGAGGGCCAGCCAACGAGAGCGTACAGGTCACAATGGTTAGTACTATATGAGGCTTTGGTGACAAAACGGATGGCACTGTGATAGACTACATCCAATTTGCTGAGTAGAGTGTTGGAGGCTATTTTGTAAATGACATTGCCAAAGTCAAGGATCAGTAGGATGGTCAGTTTTATGAGGGCATGTTTGGCAGCATGAGTGAAGGAGGCTTTGTTGCGAAATAGGAAGCCGATTCTAGATTTAACTTTGGATTGGAGATGCCTAATGTGAGTCTGGAAGGAGAGTTTACGGTCTAACCAGACACCTAGGTATTTGTAGTTGTCCACATATTCTAAGTCAGACCCGCCGAGAGTAGTGATTCTAGTCAGGCGGGCGGGTGCAAGCAGCGTTCGATTGAAGAACATGCATTTAGTTTTACTAGCGTTTAAGAGCAGTTGGAGGTTGTATGGCATTGAAGCTCGTTTGGAGGTTTGTTAATACAGTGTCCAATGAAGGGCCAGATGTATACAAAATGGTGTCGTCTGCGTAGAGGTGGATCTGAGAGTCACCAGCAGCAAGAGCGACATCATTGATATACACAGAGAATAGAGTCGGCCCGAGAATTGAACCCTGTGGCACCCCCATAGAGACTGCCAGAGGTCCAGACAACAGGCCCTCCGATTTGACACATTGAACTCTATCTGAGAAGTAGTTGGTGAACCAGGCGAGGCAGTCATTTGAGAAACCAAGGCTATTTTGTCTGCCAATAAGAATGCGGTGATGACAGAGTCAAAAGCCTTGGCCAGGTCAATGAAGACGGCTGCACAGTACTGTCTTTTATCGATTGCGATTATAATATCGTTTAGGACCTTGAGCGTGGCTGAGGTGCAGCCATGACAAGCTCGGAAACCAGATTGCATAGCGGAGAAGGTACGGTGGGATTCGAAATGGTCAGTGATCTGTTTGTTAACTTGGCTTTCAAATACCTTCGAAAGGCAGGGCAGGATGGATATAGGTCTGTAACAGTTTGGATCTAGAGTGTCACCCCCTTTGAAGAGGGGGATGACCGCGGCAGCTTTCCAATCTCTGGGGATCTCAGACAATACGAAAGAGAGGTTGAACAGGCTAAGAATAGGGGTTGCAACAATTTCGGCGGCTAATTTTAGAAAGAAAGGGTCCAGATTGTCTAGCCCAGCTGATTTGTAGGGGTCCAGATTTTGCAGCTCTTTCAGAACATCAGCTGTCTGAATTTGGGTGAAGGAGAAGGGGGGGCATGGGCAAGTTGCAGCAGAGGGTGCAGAGCTGGTGGCCGGGTAGGGGTAGCCAGGTGGAAAGCATGGCCAGCCGTAGCAAAATGCTTGTTGAAATTCTCGATTATCGTAGATTTATCGGTGGTGACAGTGTTTCCTAGCCTCAGTGCAGTGGGCAGCTGGGAGTAGGTGGTCTATAAACACGTGTAACCACGTTTGGACGTACTGCCAAATTCTCTAAAACAATGTTGGAGGCGGCTTATGGTAGAGAAATTAACATTAAATTCTCTGGCAACAGCTCTGGTGGACATTCCTGCAGTCAGCATGCCAATTGCACGCTCCCGCAAAGCTTGAGACATCTGTGGCATTGTGTTGTGTGACAAAACTGCACATTATAGAGTGGCCTTTTATTGTTCCTAGCACAAGGTGCACCTGTGTAATGATCATGCTGTTTAAACAGCTTCTTGATATGCCACACCTGTCAGATTGATGTATTATCTTGGCAAAGGAGAAACGCTCACTAACAGGGATGTAAACAAATTTGTGCACAAAATTTGATAGAAATAAGCTTTGTGTGCGTGTGGAATATTTCTGGGATCTTTTATTTCAGCTCATGAAACATGGGACCAACACTGCCATATATCTTTGTGCTGTGCTGTGATGTTTTACATACATTTTGAACCTTTCTAATCGTATAGGATCCACATGGTGAGCTTCACATGTTACATTTATATGTTGTTCAGCGGGCCATATGTTTGACACCCCTGCTTTTGCCCCACTGCGTCTCTCTCACACACTCTCTCTCTCTCTCGCTCTCTCTCTCTCTCTTTCTCTCTGAACTTAAGGCCCTTTAACTTTGTACATCCATAACAGTCCATAAAGAGCTCTTTCTTCTATGAATTGATAACATATTTCCAATCCATCTAACCATATAAATATGATTCATTAACTGAACATCAATAATGTAATAATGATCAAACTAGCCAGGTCCAAAGTGTCATGTTGAACAGTCAGAAGCCCAAATATATCTCTGACCATGTGCTTGTGGCATCAAGTTGGTATCTGTGGGTTCTGAAAGGGAGCCAGAGATGTTTGGCAAGTGGGGCACGTGCCCAGGGGCCCCAGACCTCCAGGGTTGTGGGCCCCACGCTTGTAGAATATCTGGAAAGTTGCTTTAAAACTAAAACATTTTCTCTCATCCTAATGGCAAAATGTGAAGAATAGCATGAGATGAGCTATAAAACAGTAATGTTTCTCTCTGCCCCATGGTCAAATGTGTTGAAATGCAGGAAATTGGCTTTAAAACTGCTAACTTATCTCTCAGCCTTATTGCAAAATGTGTAGAATAGCATAATGAAACTACAAATGTTTCTCTCTGCCCCATGGTAAAATGTGTTGAAATGCAGGAAGTTATCTGTTTTACCCCAAAAATATGTTTTCCTAAAGAAAAAGGAGGTAGCTGCCCTGGGGCCCTAAATGCGGTAGTCCGGCCCTGAACAGGTACATTCAGTGACACTGACACTTCTCACAGTAGCAATATGCTTTTTGAGGTCTGAATGTGACTTGTGTAATGTACCTTGTACATACACTAATAACAGTGAAGTGATACCACTGAAGGCCCACTGTAGAATAATGTAAATGTAAGTGGTCAGGTGATACCACTGAAGGCCCACTGTAAAATAATGTGAATGTAAGTGGTCAGAGAGGAGCATGAGGGGTGTGGCAGTATTTTGCAGATATAACACCAGTCAGCCTAATAAAGATGTCTCAGCAACAGGGCTCTGATTGGAGAGAGTGCAGACTGCGTCTCTGTTCCTAATGTCTCTGTCTCTGTAAGTCAATAACCAAATAACCATTACCCCAGGGTTCTCTGTAATGGCCCAACGGGACACAGGCCAGAGAATGATGTGATTACATTCATCATGAAAAACATCAGAATGTCTCGAGGGAGAATTAAGGAAGATACTGCTGCCCTTTCGGGAATATAGTCTAATGACACAGCTCTAGAAAACTGGAGAAAAGGAAGGGAGAGAGAGAAAGAGAGAGAGAGAGAGAGAGAGAGAGACGCAGAGGGGCTAAAGCAGGGGTGTCAAACATATGGCCCGCTGAGCAAAATATAAATGCAACATGTGACGCTCACAACGTGGATAGTATACGATTAGAAACTGGAAAGGGCCTTCCCCAAACTGTTGCCACAAAGTTGGAATCACAGAATTGTCTAGAATGTCATTGTATGCATTGTATGAGTTAAGATTTCCCTTCACTGGAACTAAGGGGCCTAGCCCGAACAATGAAAAACAGCCCCAGACCATTATTCCTCCTCCACCAAACTATACAGTTGGCACTATATGTTCGGGCAGGTAGCATTCTCCTGGCATTTGCCAAACCCAGATTTGTAAGTCGGACTGCCAGGTGGTGAAGCGTGATTAATCACTC